CGCGAACTATTTATTACTTCGCGTTTGAAATTGATACTGTCCTGAAACGCAAATTGATTTGCTTATATAGCAAACTTGAGTGTTCTCGCGTGCCTCTGCGTCACTCACCCTTAATTCTTTATCGCCGATGACTTTTTCATGGTGCCTCAATGCCAGCGGGTTTTCTGAAATATTCGCTAACATATGACATATGTAATGAAAAGTAGTGGTTGCTATTTAAAAAAAAATACGTACCCTTTGACCATGCAGTATTACGCCACTGACCACAAATTTAAAGTACGTAGATTGGTCAATAACTTTTAATAATTTTGGATACCATAAAAAGCTTCTTTAAAAAAATGCTGTTTTGAACTTTTGAAGTTATAGGTATTCAGTGTTCCAGACAAAATGCGTTCACCCTGTATATCGTTCGAATGATTTCCAGAGTATTTTAAATGTTTTTGAACAGAAATTTAAATTCACTACAATAAAAATATCATGGCTTGCTTGTTTTTAGCGGTAGCCAACCTGTATACAGACGGTTCATCATTTTCGTTACACTCTGTATAACTAGCAATCTCAAGCAATAATCAGAGATGCCCGGTATTTCTGAGACTAAGGTAACGCGAAAAAGCCATACTACGTGAAGCAAAAATAGCATTGCATCATGAGGAACATTAGTGGGTCAAATTTTGCTAATAGGTGTGCTACCTTTGTCATGAAACGGCAACTGACTGTAACTTTATAACAATCTCCAACCCAATCCCAATATTTATTTATTTATTTATTTATTTATAAGTCTTACGGGAGAGGCCCCAAAAAATTAAAGTTTTGTGTACAATTCACATATACAAAAGATAATTATGCTTAAATTACTGGAAAAAAGAAATTAAAAATAAATATAGTGAGCAGTAATAAACTAACTAAACTAACATTGGTAGTATGATTTGTCGACATCATTTAGTAGCAACTTAAGATTATGTTTAAGTTCAGATAAACCAACACCTATTACTTCAATTTGCGGATAGGAGTTTGCGAAACGCATCATTCTTATAATAGGGGAGTGTTGTAAATATAACGTTTTATACAGTTTTATGATAAACGATTGACTAAACCTAAGTGATCTTCCAGGAACATTAAATGTTATTAATTCCACCAAATATGACGAGTCAATACAACCATTTAGAAGTTTATAAAAAAAGACAAAATCGAGAAACTGACGACGAGCAAGCAAAGTATTAATGCTTAATACCTTAAGAACGGAGAGGTAAGAATGGTATGCAAATGAATTCAGACGTAACCTAAACCTGAAGAAACGAAGAAATTTGTGCTGCACCCTTTCGAGTTTTGAAATAGGAGTGGAATAATAGGGAGACCAAACTTGGGAACAATATTCGAGAGAGGAACGAACAAGAGTCAGGTACATTAATTTAAGGATAAAGGGATTGCGAAAGTTTTTTGATAAGCGCAGCATAAATCCAAGTTGTCTCAGTGCTTTATTACAAATAAAATCAATGTGTTTCTGATACGAAAGATCAGAAGAGAAAATAACCCCGAGATCAGTAACGCTAGATTTTCTTTCAAGCGCACAATTATTTATGGTATATGTAAATTGAATAGGATTTACAGTACGATGGAAAGTTATACTAAAGCTTTTAGTGAGGTTAAGTTCCATCTGATTTGTTTCACACCATAGGCTGAGTGCGTTGATATCCAATTGCAGATTGATACAGTCGTTGATTGATTTTATTGGGCTGAATATTTTTATATCATCCGCGAACAATAATATTTTGGACGAATTAAACACTGATTTGATATCATTTATAAATATTAAGAATAATAGTGGAGCTAAATGTGCACCTTGAGGAACACCAGATGAGACATATATTGGTTTAGATATGAAGTTTTTATACATAAACCAACGAGAGAAAGTTTAGATAACAAGATATTATGGTTTACTCTATCAAATGCCTTAGAAAAGTCAAAATATACGGAATCTAATTGCGTATTTTCATCAAAACAACTAAGAATGTAATGCTGATAAGTTAAAAGGTTGGTGTTTGTGGAACGACTAGGGAAAAAACCATGTTGTTCGTCAATGATAGTGCTTTTAAGTAATGGAAATAAAGTATTTGTTATAATACCTTCGAACAATTTTGGTATTACTGACATAATCGATATAGCCCTATAATTGGACATATCCGCTTTATTCTTGGTTTTGTAGATAGGAATAACATAACTGAATTTCCAAATGTCAGGGAAAACCCCTTCACTAAGAGATCTAGTAAACAATATTCGAGGGTTATATTATGCATTCCTCATTCGTTGTAATTAAAACCATTAACTTTAGATGAGATCTTCTCAATTATGCATCTGTAAGTTATGTCATGAATATTAATCCAACGCACTCGTAAAGAACATGAAACATTTGAAATGCAATGTGTTAATCGACATGATAATGAAAAACGACACAATTAGTCTACAATTAGTGTTTGAAAATATTTCTTTTCCGTTTATTAATTATGCAATCCCATTATGTCTACTATCATATCATACACATTGTATAACAAGATGCATTACAAAATGAAAGGGACGAGAAGTTGTATACCTACCTCTCCCTTTACTGCATTAGCATTCCGTATATGTATATCATGTGGAAAGAAATTAAGAAATTATTCCAAACTGAAATCTTATCTCGATCTACTTTCATTAGTGCTCTGGGAAACAAATATAAAATGAAATGTAAGAGAAAAAAAGGAGAACGAAAAATAAAGTTAGAGTAGCATGTAGATGCTTTAATTAGGTGTTGGATACAGATGGATCCTCATTATAATTCAAGAGAACATTATCTAAACCTGAAGTCGCTCTATCACAAAAGTACGAGAACCAATAACGGATCAATTCGGACACTCGGACATAAATTATATGAATCGTCTTAGATTATTCGAGTACAAATTCAAAAAATCTCGACCACACGTTTCTGGCGCCTTTTTATCTGAGCCGTCTCGGACGTTTGAATGTCGCCGTAAAGCGTGCAGCTTTTGCAAATTTTGGAGAATATCTTGATCTGAGCGGATTTAAATACAATTTTGGTACTTTTTAACGCATACCCTTGTATGCAGATGTGCGATTACCATTTTTTACCATAATGTTTATAATATGGTACAGATGGTGCGAGTAGCATTCGCCTTCTATGGAATACGTGAACTGCGAAACAATGGAGGGTGTTGTTTTCTCAACGTTTCCCCGTAAAGCAAATAATCGACAGGTAGTATTCACCTGAAAATTAACGATTTACAGGTGACAACCCTTCATTTCTTCTTTTCTCGACGGTGTTTGATCATATCGTCATGTGTGCGTGATGCACCCATTTTTTTACTAACAAGGTCCAGATACGATTGCATACAAAATCGCAAGGATGGTAGCATCAGTAGGTACGTTGACCCTGTAGATGGTAGTGATACGCTGAAGCGTGGGCCATAGGAGTCGCATTCTGTTAATATATCTCGGTTTATCCATTGGTTGTCCATTAAACTAACGGCACTGTCTCCAAGACGTTGATATTTTACGGAATTCAAAACTGCGTGTTCGATTTTACCTCTTCGCGTTCATATTCTGCGACATTTCGCAACTATTAATGAGAAAGTGTTAAATGTAGGTTGCCGAGATTAATTGAATGCTTTACGTAGAATTACATAAAACCGAACGAATACAACGATGGTCGATTGGGATGATTTCAGTAAATTGCCAATTATTTTCTCTGAAAACGATCGAGCTTTTGCACAATCGCAATGTAATATTAAATTAACTGCATTTTACCTAAACGGGAAGAAAAAATTACTTCTAAAAATCGCTAACTTCCTCAAAAAGTACAAGAAGAGTCAATTAGTGGAAACGGTAATGCTCTATCTAACCTACTTACTGTAACGTTTAATTGGACAAATCTGGAGTTATTGCGAAATAAATTTTCGCTATTGCACGATATCGCAAGACACGTTACTGTATGTACCTTTATGCTAAATCACATCATTTACTGTCGTCTATGCTATTCGATTACACACAAATTTGATTCGGAGGAAATAATTCAGTTTTAAGCGAAATGCAGCTTTTCTAGCTGTACACGGTACTGCAATTGCTAGGATCCAATATGGCGGCTTCTGTTATTTCAACAATTTATTGGTATCACAAGTACGTTCGGTGTACGTCTATTGGACGAATACAATTAGTATACCGTATTTGCACATGCAAATCGGTATAAATTTGGTAAGCAAGATTTTGTCATTATTACTTATAGGTATTGCATTTCAATTTAATATATAAAATCGTTCTGTTCTGTGGTATTGGCGGCGTTTATGTAACAGATATAAAAAATAAAATATAAATTAAAAAAATCATAAAGTACTTAAGAATTAATAATTAATTTTATTATACACTTTTCCGAAGTAATTATATTTAGCAGCAAAACCATTAAAGATCAACATGGAAAACAAAGTCGTATAAATGTAGCTACATCATCCATTATTATTAGGTGCTTAACAAGCATATAACTACTGTCTGCAAGTATATAATTATTTTATTGTATGCAATGCACTTGCACTCGTCTAATTTACTACCAAGTGGGCATTTCTTTTGTAAAAAGTGCGCGAAAAAATCCTTTGGCAGGTCGGATCGACTCACTATGATACTAACCCACAGCTTCATTGTAGTAATGCTGACGATTTTCTAAGTGAACATGATGCCGCATATGTAGATATGCAAAACGTCCGCGACTTGCTTATAAATATACGCACGCTGATCACGGATGTTCCATATTTACGTCGCTTAAATGCACACATGCAGTAGTTATGCAAGATTCTTGCTCAAGCTCAGCACATAGCTTTTATGCTGAATAAAAGTGGTCCTAATATAGAGCCTTGGGGAACTCAATGTCGTACGGCAAAAGCAGTAGCCATTATGCTTTCATATCCATTATGTGCGAATTTTCAGCATTTCTCTTGAGAAAGTTGTTTTGAAATATGAAGTGATCGTATATAGAACCACACGTCTTGAGTGCGTCGTTCTATGGGCCAAAACAACGTAAGTTTACCTAAAGAATAAATTATTTCGTACATAATTCGTACGTACTGGTACTGGTATGTATGCTAATTATACCTTTTTCGTGCTTTATGTCCTACGATTCTCAGTTTTCCCCGTTCTATGAAAAAGATTTACCAATCTCTAGTGTGCATTTGTGGACGTACGAATGTATGTTACGTGGACGTTCATCTTGTTGACGCATATACCACATAATACGTCCCACATAGTAGTCATACTATGGACGTACTTCAAACGTTCGCTCATGAACATTGAAACGTACTTTGAATCTCCAGATGAGGTACAGTAAATGTTCCTTGGACGTTTAGCTACGATCATGAAATTAATAAAAATGGCTTGAGAGCACCTGATTTGAGGCTATTCAACAACAAAAATTTGCGGGAGAAGCCTGAAATTTTGCACAATCTTATTTAATGTCTAGTTCGTTTCTGTTATGTTACTTATATTTCGTCATTCTTACGTTGATAAAACTGAAAAATCTGATCGTTTCAAAAATGACAGCTAAGAGCTTATGTTCACTTCTTAGTCCACTAAATTGAAATATGCAGGGTTTCACGTGTAATAATTAATGTAATAAAAGTAGTACAAATAGGTATAATATACAATACAATTTTAAGTTTAGTTCGACTTATACACAAAATTAGCGACACTTTCATGTCACATGTTGACCCACTTTAATAGAACCACTTTTGGAAGCGCATACAGTGTAAACTGGAACGCCTTACGAAAGAAGAACGTCGTAGAGAGAGAGTTACATTTTGCATCTGTCAAGAATCGCTTACCACCCAGAGGGGAAATCTGGGACACCTCTCGCATCTTCCATAGACCGATTCTTTCGTATCGACCGCCGATTAATTTCGAACGTCTTTTTCGCATCAATCAGCCGGCGACTAGCATCGACCGCCTTATCATCTGTCGCATCGTCCTAGGCCTATTTGTTATCGACCACCGATTAAGTTCGGGCGCCTTTTTCGTACTAGCCGTTGACTATCATCGACCAACTTACAGGATTGAAAAAATTTAATGAAGTACCTGTTGTAGTATAAAATCTTCAGAAGTATGTAAGTATAGGTACTTTGTTAGTATTTCAAGCTCGAAAATTGCGGGTCATCTGTAAATAATTGTACACATGCATTATGTAAAACATGTAGAGAACTACTTAATGCTATTATTGTAAAATTACAAACACATGTATGGTTATACATAATTTTTTAACGTTTATTGTTACGTACACTCTTACCAACTTAAAAAGTAATCATAATATATGGAGTAACATTACCTCACATTTCGACGAAAGTATGTGGACTTTGTATTAAGATTGTGGAAAATGTCGGGCTTCTTCCGCAATTTTTGTTGTTGAAAACGCTTAATTAAGGTAGCTGGGGTAGGGAGCTTAATAGTGTCGTGTAACCTATTTCCAAAATATGTATGTAAGGAGGGACGTCTACTTTTAGTACAAAGACATTGTTAAATGGGTATAAAACGGACGTCCATAGTATATAGTGCTATGGGAAAAAACAATGCATGAATTGGTCCAGCGAATGTACACTTAACGTCCTGATGGTGCCTCGAAATGCTGAATTTTGAACAATGATCACAACAAAGGATGGATTACGTCATTAAAGGTTTAAAATCTGCAGTCCCGTAGTTACGGCGCGCTTGCGGAATATGCATTTGAGTTCATTATACCCATACGAACAAAAATCCAGTGTACACTCTAGCGCAAAGAAAATTATTCTCTTAATCTAATAAAGACCATAGATACAATTGTATTGTATTTTCAAGATACGAACACAAAATGTGAAAATGCATTGTTGAAATCGTAGATGATATGTGATCCAATGTTGTAAACTCTTCCTCTCTTCAATCACATTTCATAACAACGCGTTATCGTGAACCACCTTCACATTTTTTTATAAGACGCGCAATTTTCGCCGTATTTAAATATGTACTTGTATTTCCACGTAAACAAAATGTTATCAATTCTTTTTTTATCCAACCCAGCGAACATAGTACAAAAATAACTAACCATTTTTAAAATGTATCAAAGAAACACCTGAAAATTTTAGACCCATTAAACATCTTATCAAATGAAATAATAAAAGCAATCAATCTTGTTGGTCCATCTGACCCAATTTAATGAAACGTTGAATGGTTGTGTAGAGATTGCCCAGCTGTTTATGTTGAACAAACTGGTCGTTCATTTAAAACCCGGTTTTCGGAACATATTAACTCAATCAACAACAATAATCTCAATTGAGCAATCCCTCAACAGAAATCTTCTTTTGCTCACCACATCCTCGCTCAGGTCATTCCTTTTGTAAATCCAACTTGAATGTAAATAAGAACTTGCTATTTTTAAACCTCCTGTAATTGTATTTAACTCAGTTATCTTTATCTGCTTCAGCCCTTGCCCCTAATTCCCGCGAGTTCCAACTTCTGCTTTCAGCGCCCGCCCTTTTGCCTTTTCTCTTCTTTTGTGTTCCAAATTTTCGAATTTCTTGCTTTCTACGATTTCCTATAGTTGGCTAACCTGTATTTATCCAGATTTTGGCGTGGTTTAATCATCTTCTTTTCCTCGCTTGAGCAAAACCATACTCTCTTTTATTTATTTATTTTTTACCTTTATTTTTGATTAGGCGGGGTTTCAGTCAGCTCTACCAACCCAACCCATTTTACATTTACAAATATCCATGCCCGAACCTGGATTCGAACTAGGGACCCTTAGCACCCCAGCCGAGCTCAACTGCGCCACACATGCCGGTTTACGCGCGACCAATAGCGAGACTTTGTCCTGGTGCAATTTAAAATGCTAAGATTCGCGATAAACCATTTCCAGTGGCGTATCATGCGATTTTTTCCGTAAAAAATATGTTCATATAATTTTTTTGGTCTGGTCTGAACGTCTGATTTTAGTAGTGATTAGAATTGCAATGGATACGCCTTTGGTGACTTAGTCACAGGTGGCCACATAAATGTTGATCAGGTGGTGTTAGTTTAGAGGGAGGAAAATTGAATTTTAAGGCTCTTCTTCCTTAAAATAATATTTTTTGTTGAGAAATTGTTAAATAAATTTCATAAAGATTGTTATCCTTCTGCTTTTTGGATTCTTCCGATTGTTTAAAATGTTCACATTTTTATCATTCTTCGGGGTCTCTCGTGTAATTATTTCGAATTTTTTATTCTGCATTTCTCTCTTTCTTTAAAATACTTTTAAATTTCTCCTTGAATTCTTTTAAATTTATCAACATCTTTCAATCTACCTTGATTTTTCTTTTTTCAAATTTTCAGCGTTTTTGTTTCTTCTAATTCCTCTGCTCCTTCAAATTCTTAACACTCTTGAATTTCTTAAGATCCTTCAGACCTTTCGAAAATTTTTAATGCTTCGTGTTCTTCACGTGTTTTTTTTTATCTTGACTACAAGATCTTTAGTATAATCACTGTTTCACTGTCGTCGGGATGACCAGGAAACGAAGGGAGTAACACCTTTTTCGCCTCGTAATGTGGCATCTTCATATTCTCCTGGCACAGCGTAGTTTAAAGCACAAGGTTATCGGGTGCTCTCCAGAATTCTGGAATCGTAGGAACGAAATCAGTGCTTCCAGTGGCTGGCTGTCGGGCATTCAAAGTGAACGGTTTTGCACTATCCTCGGTCTGTTGGCCGTAGCTACATCATGTAGTCATAATGTTACAAAAGAAAACACATGGAGTTTTAGTGTAGTGATCGAAATTTGCAGCGAAACTATTAATGTAGGCCGAAAGAGCACGTAACTGTTATTTAAATAATAATTAATAATCTTAACCCGTTGCTTCTGATACTTATAATTAATAGTTTTAGCGAATTGTTTCTTATTACGCAATAGAACTTAAACGTTTTTCGGTGTCGGTTTAATCATTCCATCTTCGGTGGTTGTCGTCCTGTGACAAAGAAATATTTTGTATAGTTAACGATTAGAATCTTTAGTTTTCGAACGCCTTCTATCGCGCACCAATTCACTACGCGTTCACAAAATTGAAAAATTACCAAATTTCTCCTCTCATAATATCACTTACTAACGACCGTTTTTTTTTTGTTATCCTTTCGTTTAATTTTTACGTTTCGGTTTTTTTTTCGGCCATTAGCAGCTTAAAGTTAATCACGAACCTCCCACCTCAAGCGTACGGTGTAATCAGTCATGTCCAGCCAAACACCTATAAGCTCACCTCTCCGAGACTTTGATATATTATTTGTGTGAAGAACACGAGATTAAAAACAGCCAAGATTTGTTCTTTGGAGTTGTCATGTTTGGGATATTCAACACCTCTAAGTTTTCATCAAATGTAACCTGCTGCATAGGTACCTACACTACGCGCGATCATCAAGATACTGCATTTATTAGTCAATGATCGATTACTGCACAACGTGTACGAAGAATATGCTTTAATTAATTGTGACATTCTTTATTTTGCATTTCGAAATGCGACAAGAAGTTAAATCAATCCATCAACTTAAGCGATTATAAATAATATACCTATTAAGATTAATTATTACGGTTACCACAAAACATTAATTAATCTTTTTTGTTGCAGGTTTCGGCTACCGATCCCGATTGCGGTGTAAATGCCTTGGTAAATTACACTCTCGGAGATGGTTTTGGCAAACAAAAGGAGTTCGAGGTGCGATCGGCCAGCGGCGAAATTTGTATAGCCTCAAATTTGGATTATGAGACTAGGAACGTTTACGAGTTTCCCGTTATAGCTACTGATAGAGGTGAGTTTTGTCTTGTCACTCTTGCGAAAATATTTGAAATTATTCCCGCGAGTTGACAGGGACGGTTGTCTTCTCGATCTCGAATTGAATTAAACTCTATAAGCTGAGTGATGTGTGAAAGAACGACTATTATTTCAACACCTGACAGTCAATGTTATTCCATTTGTAAGAGACTACGGCGACAGCATTAGCACTGTCATTAGAATTTAAATTCTTGGCATTCCTAAATGGCAGTGCCGTTTCCATTTGATGAGTCAAGGAACACTGCTTATATGCACCCCATTCCAATACATTGGAATATACTGATCACGAAAGCAGGAAGTATATGCACTTGCAATTTATACGTTTTCCAAAAATTGATATATCCCGTTGTTAATCAATTAGAGAGAAAGAAGTTGTTGCCGTTTTTATGACCATTTGACGTAAATGCTGTTACGTTGATACAAGAATAACGTTATAGTAACAACCTTGCCGTTATATTATTGCACTTCAGAGGAATTTCAGGAATACAAGGTAATATGCATAGCACATTAAACGTAAATGTTTTTGTTATATTGCACTAGCCTTTTGCGTTAGCACTTCACCGTCCATTAAGTTCCACAATGCGAATTGCTTATTAAGTAATTTTAACGGACGGACGGTGAAAAACTAGGCCGTTAATCGGCAAAGGTAATGCAAAATTCATAGTATTTTCTATTCAAGTCAATTAAGAAAATGTCACTTCTCAATTATCCTACTTTTTTGATATATCTAACGAATCGTGCCAAGTTTTTTTAAGATTGTCGGTAGATGGCACAGTTTTTCTTTGATTGGTGCATGCATTTCGATTTGCTATTTCTCAACGAAACCCTTGAATAATCGAAGACGAAATTAGAAATTGTTATGCTTATCAGAAACTCTTGAATTTAAACATTACAGCTCTACCTCAATCGAATGTCAAAATTCGCTACCATTTTCTAAAAACGGGTATTAAATGACCTCCAAACTGACAGACAAGAACAAATCACCGAAAAGTACACTCACTTTTAGCGTGGGTAGTCTCCTCTGGAAATAGTTGCCCGGAAGTATTGCATTGCAAGAGAAACAGGCTACTTGGAAGATTCGACCTCATCAACTTCTTTTTACAAATTGTAATTGTTCGTAGTAAACATTCTAGAATTGGACTGCATTATAACAAAAGGATGTCAAGATAGATCAGCAACAACAACCTTATTTAATATTGTAATCGAATAAGCTGATATAGTAGGATGTTCCTTCCTTTGCGGACACGATATATTAACTTGTAAAGTTTTAACATCACCAATAGATATATTTCTTCTAGGCGTCCCAATCGTTCTTTGTGAGTACCAGCCTCCAACAATCTGTTCTTGAGTTATAAGGAATTATTTGATAAGGAGTCGCGGAGGAGGCTATGGTTGGTAGAAATTAATTCCTTTCGTTGAGACCTTTCATTAGAGTACCATGAAGCATGAAACCAGTTCCACCCCCTCCCCTGCCCTCCCTCTCCAATCCCCTCTTTTGATACAGTCAGAAAGTAGGGTGGTAGTTGATACAGTTCCTTTGTTGAGACCTTTAATTGGAATACCATGAAAGATAAAATTAATTTCTACCCCCTCCCTCCTCCCCTCGTCCAGGTGGTAGGCACTGATCTAGGAAAGGAGTCGCGCAGGAAAGTTATAGTTGGTACAAAACAATTCTTTTCTGTGAGACCTTTCATTAGAATACCAAGAAGCATGAAACCAGTTCCACCCCCTCCCCTGCCCTCCCTCTCCAATCCCCTCTTTTGATACAGAGTCAGAAAGTAGGGCGGTAGTTGTTACAGTTCCTTTGTTGAGACCTTTAATTCGAATACCATGAAAGATAAAATTAATTTCTACCCCCTCCCTCCTCACCTCGTCCAGGTGATAGGCACTGATCTCGGAAAGGAGTCGCGCAGGAAAGTTATAGTTGGTACAAAACGATTCATTTCTGTGAGACCTTTCATTAGAATACCAAGAAGGGTAGAACGAGTGTTTATCGCCCCCCCCCTCCATTTTCACACCACTAAAGGTATGCGTATGCAAATTATGAGACCTTGTCAGATGTAAAAGCTATGCACGTTTTACATTCAAAAAGAGCATCTCACCTTCAAGGTATGTATAGACTACATATTGCAAAAAATTCCAGGACTCTAGGACCATTCCTCTAAATTTAGTTCAAAACCGCAGAAATGGGTCCGGACGAACGGACAGACGGACTAAATGCAAACAATAGCACATTTTTTTAATTCTTAAAAAATGCGCTAAAAATGTTTCGGTAGTCACCTAGTTATTTGTAAAAGGTTGTCTATGTTGTGATCTTTTACTAACAAGGTAGAAGATGAGGGAAGTTGGCCACACTTTGGTAGCAAGATCACTCAAACTCAATCCTGCTTATGCTGCTATCATCCTGCCTCATCCTGTTTCAAATTTCAGGTCAGCAACACCATCCGTTCGAGAGATACGAATTTTTGAAGTTTTGTTGACAACTTGCTTCTCAGCAACACTTTTGAAGCAGGATCCCCCAAACATGATCCTGATTGTGCTCCTATTTTTCCACATCATCCTGCTTCATCTCAGGTCAGCAGCAACGCCCTTTCGAGAGATATGATTTTTTAAAATTTTTCTTTGCGTATTTCATTCTCTGCAACATATTATAAGCAGGATCGTTTAAAGCTTATCTACCTGGTCATTTTTTATCACAATGCAATACCTCCCTTACTAACGTGCGGGTTGTAAAAATGGGTAGAAAATCGGAAAGGGCGTAACAAAAAACTTAACTATTCATTTCATCCTCCAAAGTGTTACTTAGTGTTTGAAAAGTCGTATCAAATTACACAGCTCTGTTCTTAAATACAGAGAGTATAGTTACCAAATTTCATGACATTTTCACCAATTTTGTGGTTCGACTAGAATTGCAGTGGCAATTTTCAAAAACCAATGTTGGATTATTACATTACATTATTTTGATGTTCCAAAATCTTTAGGCACCAAATTTCGTCCAGATAAGAACTTTGTACGCATCCATTTAGGGTTGATCCATTTTCGGATACAAATTTTGGAAATACTTAACAAAATCGGAAAGGGCATACCTAAAAATCTAACCAGAAGCGCAAATTCTATCCTTGTATCTGTTTTGGCTCCTGAGAAAAAATTACAAAGAAAAGTGACGCAAATTTTTGGACTTTTGGGAGCGTAGCGCGCAACCGAAACATTTTGGACCATTGGTTTATTCGGATTAAATGCTTATTTTTGACCGTCTTTAACACCACCCAAATTAACGACATAGCGTTTTCAGCCTATCTATCCGGTCTATCCATCCGTCCGAATGTGTGACTTTGAACTACTTTTAGGAGAATTGATCTAGAATCCTGACCAATTTATCTCAGTGCGGACAAGTAAAGACTGTAGTGTATCTCAACTGATTTTAAAGAGTCTTGCGGTTTTCGCGACCCTGCGGCATTTTTTTGTGAAACATTTAATACCACACACAGAATCAATCCAGCTACGTTTGTTTCTGAGATACAGGGTGGAAACGAAGTGTTTGACTTTTTGGAACGTTATCATATCTTACTACTCATGTACGATAGGAAGAAGATATAAACTTCCTATTTTCGATATTTTTACGTAGAAACCAGTGAGGAAGTAAAAAAATTGTTAGACCCTAGATTGGACCATAGTTTCTGAGATTTGACCCAATGTTGGTATTTTTTAAATGCAACGCCCTCTATAAATTGTTTTCATTCTTTTTCCTGATTACATGGATGTATCACAATCTATATATTTTTTAGTTTTAGCCATGAAAACCTTATTTTTTTACTGTTTTTAAATAGTAGGCCATATTCATAGCGATTCTGTTTTGTTTATAGTATCCATGGCAATTAAGCCAGCTGGTACCAATCAATAAAAATGGCTAACGGCAGAAACATGTCAAAAACATTTGAAAAATGTGATATAATATAATAATATTTATTTTATTTTTTATTTTATTTTGTCTTTATTTTTGAGTGGGCGGGGTTTCAGCCAAGGCTGCTCCACTAACCCAACCCACTGTACATTTACAAATATCCATGCCCGAACCCGGATTCGAACCAGAGACCCTTAGCACCACAGTTCAGCTTTAATTGAATTGCGCCACACATGGTGTTACATATAAGTAATGTAAACAAAAATTGGGTGGTAAGGTAGTTAGTTGAAATAACAAATAACAAAAAATTAAAATATTACACACACTCTGTATAATTATACAAACATGTTAAAAATTTAAACTTTGACCAAATCTCAGAAACGTCGGTTCAAAATGTCTTTTGACTACGCCACTGGATTCTACGTTTTTACCTTTTTAGTGCATGTTCCAACTCATGTTGGAAAGCACTATTATGACCACTTTCTCCGTTCATCCGCCCGAAGCCTCAGCTACTCCCACAGTTTTCAAGATGTCGAGTCACTTTTGGAATTTTTGTTTACATGGGCAATCGTACTTAACTTCAACTTCCAAAGGCGACAGCTACTCATTTTTGATGGCCCGTTAGTAAAGAAAAACAGCTCACATAGCTATGGCATTTTGGAAAGTTGCCTGAACCCGGATCCGAACCACGGACCCTTAGTACTGCAGCCGAGCTGCAACTCATCTGCGCCATACTGGCCCGCCGTTCGTATGAAAGTGGTACTATGAAATTTTAGTCGGTCGTGCCGCAATATAAATAAAATTTATAAAGTGAAAAAATTTAAATGATTTGGCGGGCTCCCGTTACACTAGTATTACGGCCGAAGGATTAGGACCAGCAATGAAACTGCATGGATTAAGATTTGATGAAAGTCACTGAAGAATAGCATTATCCCAACACGATGAGGTGAATATAAAGATTTCAGCTAAGCTGACCGTCACATGTTTTCAGATTTACTACCGAGGGTGGGGAATGATGTTTTGGGATCACATCTCTTACAGTGGACCACTTTCAAGGGGGTTTCTTTACTTTAGAAGAAGTGATAGGTACATAAAATAGAAACATTTCGCCCGAATCCCGTTTAGGAATTTTGAGGTTCTCACGTCACCGTGTGTCTTTTCAGAATAAAAGTTAAGTGTCATATGCAAAAACGCCGCTTGTTTATATTGCGCGTTGACCATTAAGATGGGAGTATCAAAAATATTGACCATATTAAAAATTTAATGTCAAAAGATAAAAAAAAACTACCTGGTTCATTGTCTCCACGCGACTACTTCGAACTCTGTCTAATTAGCAAATGTTTGGTCTAAACTCGCGGCCATAAAGCGAAATATGGGTTGAGCGTTGAGCGTCCAGAGATGACAAAAATTAATAATAAAATAGGTAAATTAATGTTTTCCTGTTAACTGTTTAAACTCAGCAGGATTCTAATAACTAAAGGATTATATTGAGCGTCATTATTTTAAAATAAATTTTCACGTTGCAACTGGTTTTACGTTATTTGATTGAATTAAAAACAACATTCTGGTTTTTAATAATTGCTAGTTTACAATATGTATTACTACAATTTTTAATGATGTAGTTTTGTTAACTTACCTTGTAATAATTGCCGGTTTTTGGTTAAAATAAGTGATTGAGTGTTCCTTTAGGGGACAAGCAATCGAAGGATGATTCGTTTTTTTTTGTTCGCACATGAGATTTTAGTATAAATCAGTGGTAAAACGTTTCCGATTTGCAACACATCTGGTAGAATTCAATGTATTTTATTCAAAGGAATTCTTGAATACACCAAACGGTCTAAGAATTTTGTAACACTGCGGAAGCAAACAGTGCATAGCGAGGTATCTATAACCTATTAAGTATTTATGAAGTGCAAACAAGACAAAACAAAGGGAATATCACGATGTCATTCTTTCGAATAAGCTACTCACGAAATCGTGAATTGCTGTATTTCAACGCCCCTTGCATCTGTGCCATTTCATATTTTTATTTTGTTTAATATTATATTTATGAAACGAACCTCAATCGACAATTCATAATTCTTCCTCAATAAGTTTCGAGGCGGAAACAATTTAATCGCGTTACAAATCTTTGCAAGGTCGTGTCTTTAAATTAATGATATCCCACTTCGATATAGCTAGAGGGATAGATTATCGATACCAGTTAAATACTTATTTAATCAAAGAGGCATCAACCTACGCGTGTGGTGGCGCTAAAATATTTCTTTCTTCTTCCAGGTGGATTGAGTACAACGGCAATGGTCAAAATTCAAGTTACCGACGTTAACGATAACCGTCCAACATTCTACCCTCGCGAGTACAACGTTTCGCTTCGCGAGGGTGGCGCATCGTCATCAGCAACAACTCCCGTCGTGGTGGTTGTCGCCTCGGACGCCGATTCGGGACGTTACGGCACGGTAACGTACAGAATTGTAACGGGAAACGACGCCGGACTGTTTCGAATTGATCGAAACAGCGGCGAAATCTTCGTCGGACGACCTAACTCGCTATCCACCAGAAGCCAACCCTTTCATCACCTGAACATATCCGCCACGGACGGTGGGGGCCTCAAATCCATCGCCGACGCCGAGATTTTCATTAGCATAATCGACTCGGCTCAACGTCCACCAATTTTTGAGCAGACAAGATACACGTACTCAGTAAAAGAAAACGCCAAGCGAGATACATTTGTCGGAGCCGTTAAGGCATCTGTCTTAGATTCTGGTAAGTGCACCGCTAATTAAAATTATATGACAGGAAATTGTCATAAAAGAACAATAGGTGTTTAGTGGCACAATTAAAGGCCGAATTTGATCAAAATTTGCAAACGATTGTTTTATTGATTCAATTGACTACATTTTACCACTTAATTATTCTAATGGTCTTCGTTGTTTGTTTTATTCCCAATTTGGGTACTACACTGAAAAATCTGTATTTGTAATTGTTAGTAGGTGTTAATTCAAACTAAAGAGAATGCTGCAAACTCGCGGTATTAACGTGAGAAAAAAAACGTCCGTTGCGTAGCTAATATAGTAATGAAGTTTAATGTTTCCAGTAATTATCATTTTAAAAGTCACTTCCCACAGAAAGCTTTTTTTAATTGACTTTTTCAATTCGATTCTTTTTATTTCCCGGCGATTTGCGCGAACTTCTTTCAACCATTGCAAACTTTTTTTTTATCATTTTAATCCTGCTAAACAATTACGGTAAAATGGTGACTGAAAGTAGCCAAACGTCCGTCGTCTTTGTGGTACTGAATCTTAATTTCGGTTCGGCTACTTTGAGATCTCGCGTCACCATAGTAACCGCGCAAAATCCGCTCCTGTTTTTGGTTTTTCGCTAAAAGTTCAACAACCATATTTCATAAGGATAAAAAATAACATTCAATTTCTGGCAAAGTATAGGTACTAGTCCAGTCAATTTGTGCTTTCTGATTACAAAAGGTCCGGTAGAAGATTTTATTTTTCCGACTTGTTTAAATGGTGAAGAGAGAGAAAAATCCAAGTTTGCCAATTCGACTGACGTCGGGAGAAATTTCTGTGGTCAAAAATCTGCAAAAATTTCTGCTTTTTTTCGATTTTTCCCATATAACTCGCATAACGGCAATACTTAGGTAAAATCATCCTTTATTACAAACTATAGTGTATAAAAGTACCTTTGATTTGATATTTTATTTGGCCCCCTAACATGTATAGTTTAGGAGATACACTAATTTAAAGTTTCGTGTTTATAGTAATTTTTGAAAATAAACCATCTTTTACGTTGCTGGACTTGAAAATAAATTCACACAGATTAGGCTTATTGAAAACTGTGACCACTTCCTTCATCGCAAAATTGGTGTGTAACACTTCACAATATTTTATCTTCCCGTGTCCAAAGACGGAGGAAGTGGTGTGACACCCACTAAATGCGTGATTAAAAAGAATAGTGCCCTCTTATGACACTTGGTTTTCAAGATATTCGGTTGGAGGAAGACTTGATTGATAAAAGGTAATTTCTTTCACCATAAAGGATAAAACAAGTCCCTCCTCAACCCCCCCCCCTCCCTCCTTTTTGATAAGAGGTTAGAAAGAAAGACGGGAACTGGTAGAAAACAATTCCTTTTTTCCGTTTTAATTAGAATACCATGGAAGATAATACCCCCACCCCGCCGGTCACCCAGTGATCGGAATCGCCCAGGAAGGTTATAGTTTGTAGAAACCAATTCATTTCGATGAGACCTTTCATTAGAATACCATGAAGGGTAGAACGTGTATTTACCCCCTCTCCCTCCACCATTTTCAAAATTTGGATATGACATCACTAGATGCATGTACATACAAAATCTGAGACAAAAAAATGTTATTATTTTTAAAAATTACTATAAACACGAAACTTTAAATTAGTGTATCTCCTAAGCTATACCTGTTAGGGGGCCAAACAAAATATCAAATTGAAGGTACTTTTATACACTAGTTTTTAATAATGGATGATTTTACTTAAGTATTGCCGTTGGCGAGTTATTTTAAACAAACCGAAAAAAGTCAAAAATTATTGCAGATTTTTGACCACAGAAATTTCTCCCGACATCAGTCGCATTGGCAAACTTGGATTTTTCTCTCTCTTTACTATTTAAACAAGTTTGAAAAATAAAATCTTCTACCGGACCTTTTGTAACCATTTAGCATTTTTACGTCTAATTTGACGGGACTATACGTATTTTGAGATTTTTGGTCGGGCTCACGGAGTAGCTCATCAAAATTTAACTAAACTTAATCTAAAATATTTTTAATTCTTATAAATGGTAAAAGTCTGATTATCCCCTCCCCATTTTTTTCTGACATCACCGTGCTGCGTTGTGATTGGTTACGCCATTTTGTGGCGGTAAGTTTGAATTTCCGGATGTCAGTCATTTTGTTGCCGTAAATTTGAATTTGTACTGTGATTGGCTGTGTCATTTTAATATAATGGCACTACACTGCCATCATTTATTTCTGATGAACTCATTTTGAGGCCGGTAAACGGTAAAAATAGTACTGATGTGACGTAGACGGTGAATTTTCTTCGGAATGCTTTTGTTTGTAAAGTTATATTCCCGAAAGCTCGCCCCGAGGGTAGCATGACAGTTGTTATTCCTTAGACTCCTTTTTTTAACTAAACAAGTTACATAATATCCGTCGTACATAAACTACCGTAAAGCGGTAGTTATAAAGGACTGTTTAACAATACCCCTGTAATATGTGTTGTTGTGCGAGGTTTTTGAAAATGAGTGGTGATCAAAGTGTGCATTTCAATTATGAGACTTTTATACGATTCGTCGATTGCTTAGAGGAACTAATGGATGATTACGACATAGTGAGGCCATTGTCATCGATATAAGTCAAATCATAATTCGGAGATTTCAAAACGATAGGTGTGTGGGGGTGTAAATCGAAAAACTCAAGAAGTGCAAGTGTTGAATTGTGTTTATATTTCATAAATTACCTGTTTTACCTGCGCGGTTATTTAAAGCTTAAAATATAGCATTTACGGAATGTCGACTTGGGTCTTCACGAATTTGTTGACAGTATGATTTAGTTTGTAGTTATCCTCACTACACATTAAAACTGATCCAGAAACGAATGGATGAGGATGATGATAGAAAATTGTATAGAGCGCCTAATACGTAAAAAAAATTACACGTTTCGAAATATTATTCGACTTGCTAATTTGCAAAACTATTTAGGTTGATGTATTTAAGGAGTAACGCATATTGGTCTAGTTTACTATCGTTTGCAGTACGTAAAAGACAAAAATATGAAACAACAAACTACTGTCACTAGTTTAATACTGTGCGTAGGTATATTTTTTACACGAACAAGAAAATAATAAGTTCTTAATTACAAATTACTTGACTTCATTCATTGTCGGTCGTGATACAGTGTTCCGTTGATAAATTTCTAGAGCCCCTTACAAAAATGACAAACAACTAACGTTCTTCTTACTCTTCTTTACTTTCTTCATTATCGTCGTTCCTCTGCACCACCTTCTAATCCAGCTTCACAAGGTTTATATGACAAGATAAAGAGTATTTACCATTCAAGAACAAATCACAACTTAATACCTCGATTATATTTTTTAACGAGATTATTACACTCGTCTTTAGTACAAAATCGACCTAGTCAAAGTTGTGAAATTTCCTACATTCCTAACGTTTTTTGGAATTGATAGTAATAGTAAACGTTTTTGAGATAAAGCTTAGCGCCGCGGGTTCTGGTGGTCTGGACTACCACCCAGAAGAGAGTACCCTAAGTAAAATAAGGACTCGATCATTCTTTTTGTAATACTCCTAGCACTGTCGTGGTAACCTTTGGGAAAAGGTAATCTAATCTTTGTATGCATACTCCCCATACCTCCCGGTTCAGCATTCAAAGTCTCGTACTAGTTTTTGGAAAGGGACAGGCGACTCTTTTTTTCCTGTGGTGTATGCTAATAGTAAAAGTTTTTGGGGAAAACTTTATCACCGGCGGGTAGGGGTGGGGGGATGGAGTGCACCCCCCCCCCCCCCCCGCAGAGAGTACCCTCAGTAAGAAAGGAACTCGATCATTCCTTTTCTATTGCCCCTAGCACTATCATGGTAACCTTTAGGAAAAGGTAATCTAATCTCATACTAGTTTTTGGAAAAGGACAGACGAATTTTTCTTTCTTGTGGGGTATGGTAATAGTATATGTTTTTGGGGAAAAGCTTAGCTCTGGGGGGTATTCCATGAGAGCACCCTCAGTAAAGAAAGACGGACTCGATAATTCTTTCCCTTTACCTCTAGCTCTGTTTTGGTAATATGCGAAAGGGTAATCAAATCTTCGTATACTAGAGGGTATTTCAGATCTTCCCGGTCTGTTCTCTTTCACAAGGGTGCTTAGCCTTCAAGACTCTCATAGCAATTTTTCGAATAGGACAGGCGAATCTTTTTTTCCTGTGGAGTACCTATGCTAATAGTAAACGTTTTTGAGATAAAGCTTAACACCGGAGGGTCTGGTGGTCTGGACTACCCGCCAGGAGGGGGGACAGGTACACGAATTTTTCTTTCTTGTGGGGTATGCTAATAGTATATATTTTTGGGGAAAAGCTTAGCTCTGGGGAGTATATTCCTTCAGAGCACCCCCAGTAATGAAAGACGGACTCGATCATTCATTCTCTATTACCCCTAGCATTGTCATGGTAACCTTTGGGAAAACGTAATCTAATATGGGTATGCTGGGGGATATTCCGTACCCTCCGGTTCTATTGTCTTCCAAAATGGCGCTCAGCCTTTAAGACTCTCATACTACTTTTTGGAAAAGGACAAATGACTTTTTCTTTACTGTGGAGTATGCTAATACAAAAAAAAGTTTAGCACTGGAGGTATTTCTCTATTATCCCTAGCACTGTCATGGTAACCTTTATGAAAAGGTAACCTTGTCTTCGTATGCTCAGCTGGGGAGTATTCAATGGGTATCCCCCCGGCCCCACAGTTCTATTTTCTTCCACAATGGCGCTCGGCCTTCAACACTCTCATACTAGTTTTTGGAGAAGGACATAAATTATTCTTTCCAGTAGAATACTCTAATAGTAAATGTTTGAGGAAACAGTGTAGTACCATGGAGTCTGGGGGTATGGAATGACCCTTGGCACCCTCAGTATAGTATATTTCATTAGGAGTCCGGTAAGCAGGCTTTTTCCGTGCGCGCGTGGCAAATTCCCGGGAAGTCATGCAAGCACGGAAAAA